AGAGACTGCAGGTCTCTCCACTACTTCTGCTTGCGGAGGAGTAATTAGGTTTTGTTTGTTTGTTTGTTTTTTGTCTTTTTCCTTTTTATCGGTACCAGGGATTGAACTCACGACTGCCTGCTTACAAGGCAGGTGCTTATGCTGCTGAGCTAAATCCCCGGCCCCGAGTAATTAGGTTTTGAAAGATGCGATGAGATTGTCCCCAGGAAGCCTGCATACAGTTCTCTACCCACTGATTGTGTCTTCAGGGAGTTACTTGCATTGAAAATTGTTACCTTGAAGTGAGAGTGATCCAGTGTCACATTTATTCCCTGATAGACAGACCCCTGGGGTTGATGTGACAGAAGGTAAGTTATATGTTTGAAGAATAGAAATGTGGGTGAAGAGACTGAATTGTTCTCCTGGAGAAAATGTTCATGGCTTACTAAGTTTATGTCTTTTTTCCTTTTCTTCCTCCTTCTGTTTCTCTCTCCTTCGCTCCTCCCCTCTGCCTCTCCCGCCCTGTGCCACCATTCAGCCAGAAGCAACCCCTGTTCACATAGTTTCTTTGCCTTTGCCAGACACACATTGGTTCCCTCACTGGAACTTTTTTTCTCTTCCAAATGGAGTCTCCTGTAAACACGGATCCTCAGGCACTGATGGAAAGGCAGGGTGGAGCATGCACCACTGCTCTGCAGGCAGGAGTGGTAGAGAGAACCATGATCTCTTCTGCGCACATTCTGGAGAGACGCTGCACAGTGGCAGGTCCCTGACAAGCTAATTCCCATTCTTAACCTCCCGTTTCCCATGCCATCTCCTTGCTAGACCCCTAGGGTTCCCCTGAGGAATCTGGAGCTCCCTGGACTAGTCTGAGAATGCTGGAGCTTCAAATGCCTGTCGGTCTGTGTGGGGTGGAGGGTTCATCTTGTTTCTGAGCTTCTTAAATAAATAAAATGCAAAGCAGATATTTTAAAAAATGTTAATATGTGGTTGCCAGTTCCCAGGTTATGGGTTGTCGATGTTTTTGTACTTTTCTGAATTTGTTCCTCCAAACAAGATTTTAAAAATATGGGTGGTAGACATAATAAATATTTGTACACTGGACCAAATACAATACTAGGTCCTTGAGAGAACTGTCTGTTTCAAAGTCAGCTAGTCTGGTATAATTACATGTGCTTTTAGGGCCCTGGGGAGAATTGCTGTATTCATGCTTACAGTGAAGCTGTAGATTCCAGGTCTGCTTGGAAAAAGATGATGTTTCTAAGACCATCAATCAAGTTATAAAAGCATTTTGGTTTCAATATTCAATAACAGGTAAAATATATGTCATATCACTATCACCAAAATATACAATGAATATGCTTTATATGTACACACATACATTTGGTTTTTTTTTTCTGTGTATGTGTATGTTGATGGCTGCTAACAAATGTCTAGTCCCTCCTTAAACTATAAATATAAATTCCAGGGGTCACAGGGAGGACAACCAGATGCCAGCCCCTTCCTGTGAGTTAGTACCATGTGTGGGCTGCTGGAGGAGAATAAGAAGCCAGCCCCTTCCTGTGAGTTAGTACCATGTGTGGGCTGCTGGGAGGCCGACCAGATGCCAGTGCTTCCTTGTCACAGGCTGGTAGACACACACACACCCCACCACCATGAGTGACTGCCTGGTCCAGTGAAACACAGGTTGCGTTGATAGTTATTCAAATAAAATACAATTTAATGCTTCTAATGAGAGGTGTTTCACTGACTTAGCACACCTAAGCCAGTAGTCTGATCATCTGTTCAGAGGATAACTATACACAATAATAGCATCTATGGAGCAGCTCCTTCTGAAGGCGGTAACCACGATTAATTCCCTATTATCTTGTTTTAAAGCCTTGTACCATTTTCATTGGGTTTTTTTTGGTTTGGTTTTATTCTGTTATGTCTTGTTTGATTTTGTTACATCCGATGGCATGGGCAGCTATTTCAAAGATAACAAGATGTATTATGGTAGCCATTGAGGATTTACTATTGCCTTGTTTTTTTTGTATCAGGGATCGACTCATGACTTCATGCTTGCAAGGCAGGCACTTATGCCACTGAGCTAAATCCCTAGCCCCTATTAATTATCTTGTTTTGACCTCCTGTATTGTGTTCATTATTTTGTTTTTATTGGTTCTGTTCTTTTCTGTTTTGTTTGATTTTACTATGTCTGATGGTATGAGCAGCTATTTTGAAGACGAGGCATTATGGTAGCTATTGTTGATTTACTATTTTGAATCCCTGTATCACTTATACTTTTTTTTGATTGGCTTTATTGTTTTATTTTGCTTGGTTTTATTCCCTTAAACATTTATAGAGCATATATAAATTCCATTAAAGTCAAGAGCCTGGTGATTTTCTCTGAACTTCAATGTCAAGCACATAGTAGGTACTCAGTAATTTTTTAAAATTAATGAATTAATGTGATATATTCTTCTTTGAGTGTTCTCATTGAGAAGAGGGATGTATATTTTATCCCTTGGTGTATCCAAGGACTCATAAATACTTGTGATTTTGATGTTTTACTTCATTTATTCCGTGATTCTCACTGAGCGTCTACTATCTGTTGACCACTGTGCTGGGTCCTGAGGATACGGCAGTGAGTAACACTTTCATCGCCTCCCTTGCTAGAGAGGAAGCAGACAGTGAATAAAAAATGAAGGGTGTGACGTTTCTTGCTGATACTGGAATGTCTTTAGCTGTATTTCCCAGTATCTCTGAGGAGCAAGTGCTGCACCTTTTGTGTAATAAAAATGTGGGGGATGCAAAGCCCAGTGGGGAGGCAGTGAGGTCAGCCCTCCCCTGTCAGCACTAGGACAACACAAGGGAGTAAGTGGAAATGTGCGGACTCCTGAGTGGAAACTAAGCTCTTGGGAAGGCTAGAAGAAGACACGGATCAGAGGGCGATGGGCAGGCTGGCGATGGGCATGGCAGAGGAGCCGGTCACCGGGAGCTGTGTGCCTTGCTGTGCCTTGCTGCGTGTCTTCCTTGCCAGCCCCGTCTGGAGCTGGCGCAGGAGGGCTGACTTGCTGCAGCAGTTCCTGAGCTCTCCCGGCTCGCTCTGTGCAGCAGAAAGAACACATCTGCCCACATGCTTTCTCCTTCCGTTTCAGGACACATGCTGATGAATTCAGAGCACGGGGTACAATAGCCTTGTGCCTTAAGAGACTAAAAAAAAGTTACTTGATCTTTTACAGATCACAGATGAGGATTATAGTTACTGTGTCTGTAGACCCTAAATTACTACTTCTGTTGCTCCGGTATCCCATCTGGATTAGCATTTGTGAATTTTTAAAAATAGACTTCATTGGCTTTAGCAATTAAAAGTTCACAGTAAAGTTGAGTGGAAAGTACAGAGAATCTGTGTGTCCCCCTCCCCACACATGCCCGGGCCCTTCTGCTGTCAGTATTTGTAGTGGTAAAGTGGTTGAACGGCTTTCACCCAATATAGCCCATAGTTCACGTTAGAGTTCACTCTTGCTGGTGGCCGTCCTGTGAGCTCTGGCTAGCATTTAAGGATGTACATCTGCCGTTGTCCTGTCCTACAGAGTAGTTTCAATGCCCTGAAAATCTGCTGTATTTTCTTTCCTCCTGTATGCTGAGTTTTTCAGTTTTATAATAGTATTACTAGAATTTTTTTTATATTTGAACTATTTGAAAGAACTATTTAATAGATCTTTCAACACAGTAGATCTTTTTTGGTCAAAGAATAAATGTTTCAAAAATTACATTAACCCTAATTATTTTTAGAGCATTCTTTTACTTTCAGAGGAGTTCAGATTTGGATGGTAAATTACATGTTCTTCAAAATCACAGACTACCTTAAAGGGGAAAAAACTGAGGGGAAGAAAGGACTCTCTGTGGGTACCAGGGATAGAGCAGGAGTGAACTGGGGTCTCTAACTTCTCTGTATACCAAAGACAAAGCCTGCCTAGCAGGGACCTCAGACTGCAGGGTTTATTGCAGGCTTGCCTTGTTTGAAAAAGAGTTGGGAAATGTTTGCGTATTTTCATCTCCACTGGGACTATTTACTGCATAAGTTGGTAAATGGCAAGCTCAGAAAGAAAGAAAGTGGACGTCAAGCAATCAGAGATCAAAACTCCAGCGAGCACACAAGGATCTGCTTAAAGAGGATGAGGTAGTATGGAAGCAGAGGGTTAGACTGGAAGAGTGTGTGCTTTCCATAAATCCAGACGGGATTCCATAAGTCCAGACAGGAACAATGATATCTTCACTCACCAGTGTTTGATGGTACTTTGAGATCGAAATTAGTTTTGTTTTCATATTCCTGGGACATAATACATCTATCAAGTTCAGTGAGTCTCATTCTTGTGAATTACATATTAAATTTGTCTAATATAAGAATTCAGTATTCTGTAGTATCACCCACATAAAATTTATACAGAGTATTAGCCTAAAGATTGAAGGGTTGACTTTTTTATACCTACTTTTTAATAGCAAATCAAACGGAGACTGTTTCCAAAAATACTATTTTGTTCTCATATTTATTTTAAAATGTACTTAAAACATGTCCTGCTGTTAAAAAAAAATAGATTAATAAACAAACAAGCAACTCCCCAAACACACAGATTTACTAAGTCATACAAGAAAAATGGTCGCTGTACAGATGAGGTCACAGGGGTGGGAGAAATGTCAACCTGTGTAAAATGACATGGAATTGTTTCTTCACTTGTGGGAGCTTCTAAAATGTGTCAGTTTAAGTCAGTGGTGGCGAACTGTTTAAGAGGCAAGTGCCCACACTGCAGAGCAGGACCCACTTATGTGTTGCAGAGTTAAACCTGAGTACTGAGGATTTGGTTTAGAAAAAACCACTCATACATTAGCATCTTTTGTTTTAGAAGAAAAACATAATAATGTGTGTGCCATAGGTTCACCACTGGTGCTGTAGATGCTGGCTTGACGGAGGTATTTGTTTCAGGTGTTTTTCTTTACAGGTGAATGTTATGACGAAACCCTTTCTCTTACTTCCTCAGGCCTTTCTATCCGGAGCGTGTGCTGGAAAGCAGACCGCCTCCTTGCAGGGACCCAGGACAGTGAGATATTTGAAGTGATGGTGCGAGAGCGAGACAAGCCAATGCTGATCCTGCAGGGCCACTGTGAGGGGGAGCTCTGGGCTCTGGCCCTGCACCCCAAGAAGCCCCTGGCCGTGACGGGCAGTGACGACCGCTCTGTCAGGTGAGACCCCAGCAGCAGCATCGCTGCCTCCCTGACCTCCTGGGGTAGCAGATTTCTTTTGCCCAAGTTTGTTACTTACCAGAAGGATAAACTGCAGCAAAGCACCACATGCTTTCCAGATGGGATGTGAAGTTTAGCTCAACAGTAGTTGGCTTTTAGCTTGTTGTTGTCTTTCTTTGTCACCATTTAAGTCATACATTCTTAGAACAGAAATGAATAAGTGAGTACTTTTTAGCTGGTCTCCTGTTCTCCTGGCTCATAGGAGCCAAGCCCACTCGTCTGTGATGAGACCCTATTTCCTCCTCTATGTTCTGCTGTGTGGGGGCGCGCACAGTCATTTTACTGTGTGTGCCCGTGACACTGCGGATTGGACCCAAAGTCTTCTCACCAAGCCGCGTCCTCAGCCCCCTTCCCACCTTGTTAAAATTTTGAAACAGGATCTCAGTAAGTAGCTAAGATGTACACGGAGGCTTGAATTGCCCTCCTGCACCTCCGCCTGCTCGGCGCCGGGTTACGGGTGTGCACCGCCGTGCCGTGCTGCCGTCGCACTGTTCACTCTTTTCAGTCTCTTGCTCTCGTCCCTCATCTGAGGGATTTTAAAATTACTTTTAGTCCATCGGTAAATTACCTTTTTTTTCCTGGCAAATTCTCAGATGGAATTTGAACACTTATCTTCACATCCAAGGAAAAGGCTGGCTTCAGTTGTGTTAGGGCCTCTGCAGTTCTTGCTGTGAGTCACCTTCTCTTCTCTGAAAGCACAGTATTTGGTAAAATGAGCAGAAGAGTGTGAATCCAGTGTTCTTAGGACTGTTGAAGGAATGAATGTATTATTTAAAAGTCTGAGATGAAGACTTACATTTGCTGCAGCATTTTTGTATTTATGATGAGCTTTAAATGTGCTCAACAGCAAATAGAAAACAGTCCTGAGGAAGAAAGGACAAGAATGTTTGATCAGTTGATTGACTGATATTCTGCCTCTGGGCTTCAACAGCTAAAATAGACCCTTAGAGACTGAAGCCAAGGTCACTGCTTTCCCCACGTTTCCTGCATGTGTATGAATCTAAGCAAGTCCAGGCCACTCAGTTCTCCTTCTAGTTTCCACCAAGCATGAAAGCTGATAATCTCACAGTCAGTGGGAACAGTGACAGTTGTCTCCTCGCGCAGCGTGAATGTTTATTAGGTTTATATGTGTATTTTTTAAATGTATATGTACATTTTTTTTATTTTAAAGAGAATAAAACCAAAATGAAAGAGAATAAAGCCAATCAAAGTGAATTAGTGTAAGTGATACAGGACTTCAAAACAAGATAATAGGAACACCACAAAGGCTACCATAGTGCCTCTCATTATCCTGTAAGTAGGAGTCCATAGCATCAGATGTGATGAACTTGTGATGTATCTTGAATCCTCTTTTGGTTCCCACTCCCCTCCCCTCCCTTCAGCCTCTCTTCCTTTCCTTACCTGTAAAGCGTTGTTTCCATTTTATCCATCTTTTCTCAGTTTTTTCTTTTCCCTTCCTTCTTCCCCCATTCCCCTTTTCTTTTGAACAATTCTTCCAATTTCATAATATCTGTTGTACATTTTGTTTTTATTGATACTTTCAGTTTAAAGTGGCTAAAATTGTATTTTATTTTACTTTTGTACTGGGGATCAAACTCATGACCTTGCACTTGCCAAGCGGATGATTGCACTGCTGAGCTAAATCCCCAGCCATGGCTAAAATTTTAAATTCAGTTTTACCATGAAGTTTTTTTTTAAATTATTTATTTATTTGAGACAAAGGCTTGCCTTGAACTCCCCGTGTGGCTTCTGGCTGGCTTTGAACTGTTGGTGATTCTCCTCCTGCCTCAGCCTCTCCTGTGCTGAGATTACCAGGCTTGCTGCCATGCCTGGTTTAACAGCCATCATTTCTTGAGACAGATTTGTTCAATGGCTTTAGAGGGTGGTCTTATTTACAAGGACTGATGGTTTGTTCATCCTTGTAAAGTAAATCTTACATTGCTTAAAATAGTGCAAGGCTAAAAATAGCATGGGGTGATGAATAATGGATAGAGTACTGAGAGAACATCAGTGCTGTGGGCTGAACAGCAGAGGCTACCTGGGGGAGCACACTGCTCACCACACCACTCCCCAGGGTAAAGAGTGCGTCCCGTGCTTCCTAATGGCAAAATGTACCCAGGGAAATTATCATATGTGGCTTATTCTTAGTGTCCCTGGCAGGCCCTGTTAAATGTCAGGAAAGACTCTTAAATCCTAACAGAGTCCGGATACTGTAATTACAACTAATATGGGACCCTTATTTGTACCTTGCAAATATTTTGAAGGGGTTCATTTAGCATAAGGTACCTACTTGGATTGGCTCTAGAATTGGGAATTTGTGTAGCTGGCTCTGCTAAAAACCTTGTGTTGGATGAAGTTGCCTTTGGTTGTAACTTCCTGTCTGAGTGGTGGCTATGACTGTATATACCTGACAAGGAATCATCCATTTTTCCTTATCTCCAGGGAGGCCAGCAAATGTGTGTTTCAGTCATGTGCTTAAGCACCACTTACTACAAAGATTCTCATGTCTGTGCCAAATCAACAGTGGCACTGGGACTTCTTTGATCCTATGAATGTGTTTAGCAACCCGTAAAGGACAACTTTTAAAGAGGAGAAGATCTTGTATAAAGTGGCATTTATATTTTCCTTATCTGTGACTCTCAATCTTTGGAAATGTTATTTTGTATTTTCTGCTGGGTTTTTCAAATGATGAAAGTCACCCAAAGATAAATAGCAAAGCTTCCCAGGTTCCCTGACAGGCTATGATGAAGGGCCCTGGGGTGAAGTTATTCCTACTTTCTTGTGAGCATCAGTGTTGTGAGAAGGCCTTCTTGCCTTGGGGTGACTGAGACTGTGCACAGTTGCTGTGGTTTTGTCCCCTGCTTTTGTCCTCAGACTGTGGAGCCTGGCTGACCATGCCTTGATTGCTCGCTGTAACATGGAAGAGGCGGTTCGAAGTGTTGCCTTCAGCCCCGACGGGTCTCAGTTGGCCCTGGGTATGAAGGATGGGTCTTTCATTGTTCTCCGAGTTAGGTAAGTACAGATAATGGATTTGTATTGAGAAATGCTGTCATGTGAAAAATTAAGATTTGTCTGGTCCTATTCTGTGCCTGGATCTAAAAAAAACACATATTTACTCTGACAAGTACAAATACTAGAGACCCTCGTTCCCTGTTTGTAATTCTGTAATATAAAACGTTCTTACATCCACATTTCTTTGGTAATTTCTTTGGTATCAGAACCTAATTTGGTGAATGACGATGGAGCTGTTCCTTACCAGGAATAATAACATGTCATGTGATTAGCTACGAAACTATTGTGTTTACTATTTGGAGCTGCCCTAGTGCCCGTAAGGAGATGTTACATAACATACTGTAATGACTCTTTTAAAAAATTCAGTGAATAACAAGTCTCAGGCGTATCTGATCCCAGGGGCTTTAGATAAGAGCTCCGTGGTTGGCCAAGAAAAGAGGAAGACAGAATAAAGCAATGCCCATCAGCATTAGAGTTTAGAGGTGAACTTGAATGAAAGATTTCTTCTACCCATAATTGGCACTAAAATGTAATATTTCCCATTTACTAACATCATATTTTATTCCCACTAGACAAAAATTATGACCCACTCTTGTAATTCCTCTGAAGGCATTAGTGCTTTTTTCTTGGCTCACACATTTTGTTATTACAGAAAAGAATTGCAGCTGTAAATTAAACACTGCATGTTTTGCACAGAGAAAAATCTAGATAGCACTGAAGAATGTTCCTGGCACAGTTCATTACACTAAATTCTCATTACCAGCCACGCATAACTCATTACCAAGCTGATGGGCAATATTTCCTTTGATTAGTGACTCCGCTCCTCTGCCAGGTGATTTATGGTAAGATGGATAATTGCTGGATTTCCTTTTGATGTGTTTATCAAGACAAAAAACCCATGCACACCTATTTTATGACACTCTAATACATTATCTTGCTAGTAATAAATGATAGCAGGTAAAAGGGATTATTGTGTAGAAGCAAAGATTCATCTATGTATTCAGTTTGTTTTGGAGTCAATCAAGTTATCTTTACTACTCAGGCACCTGTCAATCATAATCCTATCTCAGCTGGGAAGAAAAAACCATACTGAGATTTCAAATATAAGCAGAAATTCTTAAGAGTATGATCAGAAAATATGCAGAATATTTCAGTGGCACAGAGTATTCATTTTTGACCTTTCATGGTGAAAATTAAAAGATTACATAATTTAAAATTTTTCTTCTGCCTTTGACTAGCTTTTTTATAACAATAAGCATCAAACGTAACAATCACTGGTTTCTCATTCTAAAAGTTTAAAAAAGATGGTATATTTTAATGCTAACCTTATATATTTTGCATATCTTAAAAATAATTTTAGGGGGGTGGGGATTTAGCTCAGCGGCATAAGCGCCTTCCTTGAGCAAGCAGGCAGTTGTGAGTTCGATCCCCGGTACCGATTAAAAGGAAAAAGACCAAAAAATAATAATAATAATAATAATAATTTTAGGCCAGGGATTTAGCTCAGTGGCATGAGAGCCTGCCTGGCAAGTGCGCGGTCATGAGTTCGATCCCTGGTGCCCCCCCCAAAAATTTTTTTTTTAAAAACTCCAATATTAAAAAAAAAAACTCCCAATATTTTAAACAAAAACTTTAGGAAAAAATAATACATAGTTGAATATGAAAAAAAATATGCAGTGCAATAAATTTTTATTTTTGAAATTTTGAAATATTTCAAATGTTTATTAATTTTAATAAACTGACCATATATTTTGAGTATTTCATTTTTCCTCTAAAATTAGTCTTGCAATTTTTGTAGATTTTCTCTCTGTTTCAAAAAATTTTTTCCTCTGAAAAGTGTTTAAAACATGACTTGGATTTTCTATTTCTGTGTTCACTGTTTATCACTTTGGGTTTTATTCTTGCAGAGATATGACAGAAGTAGTTCATATCAAAGATCGGAAAGAAGTCATTCATGAAATGAAATTTTCTCCAGATGGTTCCTACCTTGCAGTAGGATCCAATGATGGCCCAGTAGATGTCTATGCTGTTGCCCAGAGGTATAAGAAAATCGGAGAATGTAACAAGTCCATCAGTTTCATTACGCACATTGACTGGTCATTGGACAGTAAATACTTGCAAACCAATGATGGTGCTGGAGAACGATTGTTCTACAAAATGCCATGTAAGTCTTGCATAGTCAAGGGAAGTTTGTGAAACACAAACTTAGAACCACATGAAGAAAATATCTTTTTACGACCTCAGGGCAGGGAATATTTTCTGAAATGAGATCCCCAAATCGTAAACCCTCAAAAGGTTAATGAAGTGAAACACATTAAGTAAAAAATAAGTGCATAACAAAAGAGACCACAAATGAAATTCAAAAACAAGACATAGAACATAAATCTCTGTGATTGTTATAATGGAAAAAGAATACACATCTGTAATATGTAAAGAATGCCTGAAGATAAGCAAAAGAAAAAACTATTTAAAAATGCACAAATCTCAAATGACCAATCCACTTATGAGCTAAGGGATCATGAGAATGATAATTAAAACACCAGGGGGTACCATTTAGACTGGCAGAAGTCTGTCAGTGTTACATGAAGCAGAGAGGAAATTTAAACTAGATACACTGCTTGGGCATACACAGCATACACATGAACAGTGTGCTTTTTGTAGTGTTTGTAGTGGCCAAAAATGACTATTCCTGAATGATTAGCAGCAAGAGGAAACTTTAAGTAAATGTGATATATGTAGTCATATAATAGAATCCTAGAAAGAATGTAAACTAGAAGTACTTGTGTCAATAGTACAGATCTCAAAAATACCCTCTGAGCAAATGAAGGTTGCTAAATGGTGTGTCCAATGTGTGATCATTTACATAAAATTTTAAATACGGAAAATTCATTGTATTATTTATAAACACATACCTAGAGTAACATGTTTTTTTAAATGTGTAGGAACTCCTATACATTTAACACCTAATTCAGGGTCCTGATTACTTCTATGGAAGAGAAGAGAAATGAGATTAGGGAGGAAGACCTAGTGGATTTTAAGCATGTAACATTTCTTAAAATTCTGTGATAAAAACAAAATATTGTTTTGTTGTTATGCATAGTTCACTGTCGTCTCTACCTTTTCTATATACTTGAAATATTTAATAATTTTTTAAAGTAGAGACAGTCTGAGATACACAGTCAACTTTCAAGTGGTTAGCAGTTTGTGACTCATTTTATTCATCATCCAAGTTTTCGGCGTCTGCCGTTCCTCTCCTCCTTCGTGCCTGTGCTGCAGGTCTCATGGTTGAGCTCTGAAAGACTGCATCTCTCTCATAAATGATGATAATGTGAAATAGGTGTCATACGTGGTTAGTGCTTTGCCAGCCGGTTCTGCGGTGGGATTAGCGGTGAGTGAAAGGAATTGGAGCTGTGGCCAAGCAGCCACCCTGCAGTGGGAACCCAGCCTGAGAGCAGGCGGGCGTGCTAGGGAACCCAAAGGCAGCAGAGCAGGCTCCCTGCAGCTCTAGGAAGGGTGGCCCGTGGGGAGGTAGGGACTGTCTCTGAAATCTATTTTGGACTCCTAGAGGACACTTCAATTTGAGTCCTCAAAGAAAGACTTAAAGATGCTTGTCCGCAGTTACAGTGACTGCTTTAGTCTCATCTTTTTTTCACAATCAGAATCCCTGTTATGTGACTATTTGGCGAATTGTGCTTGTCAAAATTATAAAAAGCCACAATTTTTGTGAATACATTGTAACTCTTATTAGAAATTCATCTGATGTACACACTCATGTAGTAAATTTAGTTGTGTTTAGTGTTTAGTTTGTAATACTAAACTAAATATCCCAAAGATAAATTTCTATATGTGGTGTACGATTTAATGATTTATAATATAAAAGGAAAATTTTAATGTGAAACTTGAGCTCAAATAGTTATGTTTGCCATAAAATTTGTATTTAAAAATTATTTACCATAAAGTCATATGTAATGTGCAACTTCACTTTTAAGAGCTTCCGTCCCATCAAATTCATCAGGGAACCATGATTAGATGTGTATGTTTTTATGTCTACTCTTTGTGCTTGACATTATTTCATGTATTTCCCCATTCGGTAGATATGTACCAGGTGGTTTGTCACTTGTAATCATCCTGGTCTATGAAACCACAATGTATGTTATCATTCTATTATTATTTCCAGTTTTTTGGCTACTATTGCTCCAAATACCTTTGCAGAAGTGGAGAGTCTTTACTGAGTTACTTCCTTAAATTGTATTCTCCAAAGCAGGAATACTAGGCCAGAGATTGTGTTCCAACCATGAACTCTCCAGTTCCATGGTCTTTGCAATGAGTTCTTATGTGATATTGCTGTAGTCCGGAGGTTCAGGGTGCCAGGTTGACAGTGCCCAAGTAATGTATCTGGACACCTATGCTCACAGAGTCTTCATTTGAAAATAATACTTATTTTGAAAGGGCAAGTATTAATAAATGTGCATAGTTGTGTTGACTTTGTGTCTTTAAATAGTGTGTAGCTAAGTGTGTCCTAAACATTATAGTTTGTGTTTCCCTGTTGTGTGTTCTTAGTGGGTATTACTGACAAGTTGCTGGTGGAAACGGGATATTGTGCCATACCTTTGGGCACATGCCCAGCATAACTGTCAGGACTATTTCTCTCAACCAGGTATACTTAATTCTATCATAACTGTATGAGTTCCAGGCCTATAGGTTTTATTTATTTATTTATTTATTTATTTATTTATTTATTTATTTGCAAAAATGAACTTGAATTGCCCTTTGTTTATCCCAAGGCCCAGGCCATGCAAATATAAATCTCAGACACTTCCAGTATGGCTTCCAAAAGCCAAAACAGTCTAAGTTGCCTGAAATTTCTTAGGTTCAATTTCACTTCACACTAATGAATTTATACACTTCACATATTTATTTAGAATTTACAGATAATAAAATGCAAGGATTTTTAAGTACATACTTTGAATTTGATAAATGTATACACCTATATAAATACGAATTTATTCGCGATGTACTTTTTTTTTTTTTTGGTACTAAAGATTGAATCTTGACCTTTCATTTGCCAGGCAGGCACTCATGCCACTGACCTAAATCCCTAGCCCCCTTTAATAAAGATGTACATTTTTATTAAAGTCTTATTGTTACAGTAGCAATTTAAGTAAAATTCAAAATTTAAATTATATGAAAGCTGGCTTAAACTTAGTTTGTTTATGAATCTGGTGTACTTTTATTTTTTTATTTTATGGAAAAAAGGTAAAACAAAATTTCATAACAAAACAATAGAATAACAACAGTTAATACATTGCATATTGTTATCCTTAAAATAGTTATTCAAGTACAAGATTTTAATGCCCATATCTTGTACTTAGAACTTTTAAACTTAAATAATAAAGAGCATTATTTTTTAAAAATAATTTATAGCATGACTTTTTTTATATCACTTGTAAACATTCTTGAAGTATAAAAAATAGAAGTTTAGGATTACCTTTTTTTTTTGAACCTCATGACATGTTGGTAACTTAATGGGGCAAGATATAATTTAATGAAGTTATGACATCAGTAGTGTAAAACAAACTATCAGCTATATGTAAGATTCAGGAAATAGTTCAGGATATTATATTTAGAATAAAAATCATTTTCATTTCCTTTTATATCTGAAGTTTGAGCATGTGTTTCTATAAACAGGGTTTATAGAACATCACAAAATATCACAAACTGTCTAAGGTAATTAGAACCTGTCATTTCCTTGACTTATAGTAGTTTTTAAAAATAACAGATAGATCTAAGAAAATAAAAATGAATAAATTACAATGTTTTCATGTAGCATCACATTATTTATTGTTTTCAGCTGGGAAGCCTTTAACAAGTAAAGAAGAAATTAAAGGGATTCCCTGGGCTTCCTGGACATGTGTTAAAGGCCCTGAAGTGAGTGGGATTTGGCCCAAATATACTGAAGTTACTGACATCAATTCAGTAGATGCAAATTACAACAGCTCGGTGTTGGTGTCTGGAGATGATTTTGGGCTGGTCAAGTTGTTTAAATTTCCTTGTCTCAAGAAAGGTAAGCCAAAAGATGGTTTCATGGGATGAAGATTTATTTTTGGACTCTCCATAAAACACAGGGACCCATTTCCCTTTGCCTCACTCTTCCTTGCATTAGATGGTGGCAGTTGAGTTTCGCCTGTGCTAACTTGTCAGTTACAGTTCTAACTTGACTCCCAAACTTTGTCTCTGAATATCTCACATTTTTATTGTTTTCAAATCACACTTGTGTATTGCTAGTCCTTGGCAATGAAAGACACCATTTTATTTATTGCTGTTTTTACTAGTGGTATTTCCGTGTACAAAATACAGTCATTCTTGATCATTGAAAAGTAAATGGACTCTGACACCAAGCTGTATTTTTTTCTTTCTAAATGGGAAGTGTAAGACTATTTCTCTGATTTCTATCCAACAAATTATTTTCTCTTTCAATAATTTTGCATAAAATGTGTTACTGAGATCTACTTTTGCTATCCTAAAATGCATGGTTTTGCAAATTTGGGTGAGAATTTGTTAATACAGTTAATACCATTTTGTGATTTGTAGTTCTTGTGTTTTACATTTTAAGCAAGTCATGCTTTATTTGCCTTTGTGTCACTTAATATTCATAATTTAAATTTTATATATTCTATTAAATATAATTAAATTATTTTATGCTTCTGAGCTCCTTAAATTTAGAGAAGCAAAGCAGATCTTTTTAGGCATAATTAAAATAAAATCTGAAGGTGATTGTTCTGGGAAAATAACAGCTTATGGCTTCCTTGCTGCAGCATTAATTTTGCAAGCCAGATTTGCACAACTATAACTGGATAATTTTTTTAATGGTGAATTTTTGAGAAAGAAGTTCGATTCAAAACCTTTCCTGCCCTCACTTTTTTTGTTGCATTTGTTTTATTCTTGAAATTGTATCACTTCAATTAGGTGGTACCTTTAGGCTTTGTAGAATGTGACTAAACTAACTATGTAATAACCACACCCTCATCTCTCTCTGCAAGTTTAGACGAATCTACAGGCCCTTCTGAGCACCTTTACTATGCCCTGAATATATGATCTTGCGAAAGCAGGGACATGCTGCTGCCTAAAAACTTTCACTTGAACGATTTTTAAATTATGCAAGGAAAAGGATTGGGAAATGTAATCAGAGTCACTTTCAGCCAACTGGCAGTTTAGAAGCAGTGACAATTACAGAACAAAATGAAACATAAAATGCATAGAAAAATCACCATCACTTACACTTGACAAAATGGCCATCAGTTAAAAATGCTTGCACCACAAAATTATCCCAGTGTGCCAAATTCAAACTCCTCTGTCTTCCTAATGAACTTCGTAATTAATAAGGCATATTGTTAGATTGAGTGACATACTTGTAGAGAGTAACTCAGGCAAGTTAGAAGGTAACTGAGTACTTAGGATTCAGGGGGAAACAGGACGAAGGTCAGAAGCAATTCCATTCCAGTGTCAGAAGGGGGAGTGATGTTACTCCATGACAGTTGGTATCTCCTGCACGGTTCCCAAACCCTGTAAGGTAGATTTGGATCTGGAAGATAGCAATGGAAATGTGGATTTGTTATTAGAACTAAGAAGGGGGTAGGTAATACTGTCTGTCAAGGTGAGATGCCCATGTAGGCAGAGACCTGTGGACAGGGCCTGGGGCTGAGTGGGGAGGGGACTACAGAGTGATAGTGTGGGGCAAGTAGCAATACCTGGCCCAGCAGTCCGCCAAGGTGCATCCATGTCCTCATAGCACATGGACTTTACTTTCATGATGCATGGTTCATAAATCTTGCAATTTGCCTTACAGACTTTCAGGCTTTCATGTTCTTTTTGAGCCAAAATTGCTGGTTGGGAAGTCAGTAAAAGTTTAGGAATTATTAGTAGTAATAGTAGTTGGTGGAACTAGTTTCTTTCTAGCTAAGGCACCAGTCAGAAGTATTTTACAGTGTCTCCCAAGGTTTGAACCAGTGAGAGACATGTAGTGGCTCATGATCATGAGCAAATGTGGAAGACTGAGCAAGCTTTATAGTTTTCTATTGTGATTAAATAAAATGTGCAGTCAAGCTCATTTGATGCATTTGAGATTATGTGTACATTTGTATTCTGTTGCACAGTAATTAGATACAAAGTATTCTGTAGTTAATGAAATTACTGAATTTTTATTACTTTTACCTAGCAAACAATTTGTTTCCTCATTTGGACAGTTTTCAAATCTTTAAATAATTAGAATTAATACTGACAGTTTCCTGCTGCCATTAGACTATGTCCTCTTTGATCAGTGCCCAGACACTGGCAGGAGGTTAAATCTAAAGTTTTGCCGATGTTGCACCCCAGTCTTAGCACGCTGACACTGCCTCTGAGGCTCATACTTTACCTGTGTGTTCTCTTCCATCTTTTACACACAACCCCGCTCACATATGTAGTTTTCAACATAATACCCGTGACAAGAATTGTGGATATTATAGTTGTGAAACCTTGAACCTTGGAGGGGAGACATCATTCTTCACTGTAGCTTGGAGAGGTGACAGGGGTAGCCACGAAGGGTCTTATAGCCCCTATTAGAAATACGCAAGGAAAAACTACAGGGGACCTAAATGGAGGACTGACAGGACTAATTCGAGGCTTTAAAAGAGCACTTTGCATTGCATAAAATAGCTTAGAGAAAGGGAGTCTTCAAGAAGAGGGCAATTGCAGGACTCTTACTGAGAGACGGTATGACTAGTTGCGAAGAGAGGTGATTTACTTAGGAATAAATGTCAAGGCAGGGATAAAGCCTCACTGCTGAATTGGGAGTAGGAGTAGAGGGAGGAAAAGAACCATTGAGGATGATTCTTTGGCAGTCAGGTGGAAGGAGGCATCAGTTACACGAAAGGGAAAGCAAGAAAAGAAAAGGTTGCCTATTTCAAAGAGAAAAGACAGTGAAAGAGGAAAGGAGCTCCTCAGTGTGTTTTGGCCATGAAAAGTTTGAGGCGCCTATTAGACACCCAAGTAGACAAGGTCAGTGGCCTTCGCTCGAGAGAGTTCAGGGCTAGAGATGAAGTTTGGCAGTCACGAGCACACTGAAACTTTTTGAAGCCGTGGAAAAAAACTTGATGAGATGAGTGGCAAGGGAAAGTCCTCCTAGTGGTGAAAGAACAAAGAGAGATCTTGTCTAAGGGAAGCCTCGGAAGAGGCGGATGTGGTCTTTATTTGATAAATACTTGTTATAACTTTTTCTAGAGGACGGAGATGTATCAGTAAATAAAGCAAAGACAAATCTCTGCCCTCATGAAGCTTTTGTTCTACTGAAGGAACAAGTCAATAAACCTGTCTCACGGTGAAAAGTGATACGAAGAAAATAAAGCAATTGACCGGAATATAGAATGCTGCAGTGGGGCAATAGAGTGCCACTGTTTTAAACAAGGCAATCAAAGAGCGCCTCATTGTTAGGGCATTTGACTAGAAATATGAAGGAGATGAGAGAAGCAGCCCTTCAGACATCCAGGGAAGGAGCATTCCAGAGAGTGAGGACAGCACAGACAAGACTTTGGGGCAGATTGTCAAGCATGCTGAGGAATAGCAGTGTGCCCAGAGCAGAGTAAGTGATGGAGAAAGAGAGGGTAGAAAATAGGGTCAGAAAGTTAAGGCCTCGATATGAATATGATATGCTTTGGCAGGTTGTTCCAACCTACTAAGGCTGTATTATTTATTTCGGTATAATTAAATCACCCTCGCCCCAAATTTGTCACCTTAACTGCTAAATGAAAATATGTATGATTTTACAGTTTGGGGGGAAGGAGTTCAGGAATTGATGTGCATCTTAGTTGGCAGTTCTAGTCCAAGGCCACTCGTGAGGTCACTGTCATCTGTAGGCTGGACTGAGACCAGACACGGAATTTCCCCTCTTGCATGGCTCTTGGCAGGAGGCTTCAGTTCCTCGCTGCATGAGGAGCTTCTCCACACTGCTTGGTGTCCTAATGACACGTACAAGTAAGGAGGAAACCGCGGTGCCTTCAGTAACCTCCTCTCTCACACACTTCTTACTTTTTTCTTCTTTGTGATGGGGTTTCTTTTAGAAAAACTGCTATAGGTAGAAGGGTTTTCAAAGTGGGGTGGCTGCTTGCCGACATTGTGAGATCTCCCATAACCTGTGGAGTTCTAGGTCTGCACAGAAGAGGGGTCCTGCTTGTTATGACGTGTATTGTTTTTATCCTGCTGATTCTGAGCATACGCTGGAGTCTTTACTGCAATAGTTTAACCATAAATATAATAACTTTGAATAGTTTTTCCTATTGCATTCACCACCCAGGGCTGGAGTTGACTGACTGAAGCAACCAATTAAAGCACTCTCACAGCTCTAGGTCTGCATGACCCCCAAATAGTGGTTTGACTTCGATTTGCACAGAATTATTTTCTGTTTCCCTATTGTAAAGAACTACCTGTTTTATTGTGCACATAGATAAAAATGTGTAAGATGTTCATTGTTGATCATTTGTTTTCAGAATCAGTGAAGCAGTGAAATGTTCTTTGGAATAGGTTCAGATGAGTTTGTTGGCTATTGGGCTTGAATTTTAAGGCCTGTCCTCAGATTAATGCATAATGAAATATTTCAGTTATCTTTTGGAGCATTTCTTATTTGGTATAATATTGTAAGACTAAGAATTTTCTAACATATTTAAAGAATTTACTTATTTAAGTAGGAATGTGCTTTCTTAACTAGTAAGTTTTTTGTTTTGCATAACTAATTTTTTAAAACACAATCTTCACAGGAGCCAAATTCAGAAAATATGTGGGCCATTCTGCACACGTCACAAATGTCCGCTGGTCTCATGACTTTCAGTGGGTGTTAAGCACAGGAGGGGCCGACCACTCGGTTTTCCAGTGGAGGTTTATTCCAGAAGGTGTCAGCAATGATATGCTTGAAACGGCACCCCAGGGTAAAATGAGTTGTGACTTTCCAATGTCTATTTATATTTCAAGGAATATTTCAAAAATTATTCTAATATCTATGTTAGAGGTAAAGAAAGCCACTTTGAAAAATTCATTACTATAATAAATTTTAATTTAAAAATAAAAATAAACTTTTGAGATTAATATCATCAGTTAGATAATTTCCTTCAAAGGATTTTGCTTGTGCCAAATGCAAGTTGAAAGCTTAAGGATTACATGAGAAAATAAACTTTTAAAGAGAGCATGGAAGCAAATGTATCAGCCTGCATAAGACAATTTAATGAACAGTGAGCCTGCCCAGCCAGGCTGGGAGTCCGAGGTAACCTTGGGAATGGAAGTTGCCTCCGTAATGCTATCAAAACATAGCTGCAGTCGGGGCCCATGTGTTTCCATTCCGTGGCTGTGTAGTCTTTTTATTAATATCTGCTTGATGTCAGCAAACAAAGGAGGAAGTCAAGTGAGCGACTTCAGTAACTATGTTTTTAGAAGGGTCTGGGAAGATAGCTTAGTGGCACAAGTGCCTGCCTGGCAAGGGCAAAGTCCTGAGTTCGACTCTCAGTTCCAAAACAAACAAACAAACAAAAACATCAACTATGTTCTTAAAAAAGGTACTGCAGAGATTTTGACCATGGGGCCTAGCAGCACTTGGTGGGCTAAAAGAAGATCTTTGCTGAAGTAAGTGATTGGATTTCCTTTTGCCACCACTTTGTCTTTGGTGAAACTGGACCTTTTCGTACTTCTCAAAGGAGGGTTTGGGATTTAGCTCAGCGGCATAAGCGCCTGCCTTGCAAGCAGGCAGTCGTGAGTTCGATCCCCGGTAAAAAAAAAAAGGAGGGCCTGAAACCCAAGGATCCTACGGGCTAACAGAAGAGTAGATTATGTTCTGTCTGCCCCGGGGAAGTAGTGTCCCCATTTGTTAGTGTTCCCAGGGTCAAGGTTGGGATGTTAGCCAAAAGATGAAGGGCAGAAATATGTTTTTAAGAATCTATATTAAAGGAAAACAGTGGTATAATTATAATTTGATTCACTTGGCTAAGGTAGAAGAATATACTTTAAATAATATTTTAGCTGTTTAGAGTGTTTGAATTTTTGCTTCTTTCTTATGAGTTATATTTCTGCAGAAGGTGGCACTGATTCCTACAGTGAAGAATCTGATTCAGATTTATCTGATGTGCCTGAGTTGGACTCTGATATTGAGCAAGAAACCCAAATCAATTATGACCGGCAGGTTAGTAGCCAGAGAGCAATGAAATGCATAGCCAGAACCTAGAGCTTGCTGGCTTTGGACATTGCTCTGAAGATGGATGGTGTTTCAGCAGCAGAAAATTAAGGCAAAAATAAGAAAAAAATGTGCACTTCTTATCCTCTGAAAACAGGGTAAAAGTTAAAGCATCCGCTTACTTATATCATTAAAAAAATAAGTGGAAGATAGTTGCAAAGTTCTAAAATGGAACCTTTAACTTTTTGCTTCCTACTGTCATTTCCCTACCTAATTTATAGAAAAATGTACATATAAGCTGCCAGTTTCCCCTCTCTCTGTCCTCTCCCCATCCTCCCCTCTTCTCTCTCTGCCTGCTCCGTCCTCCTCTCCCTCCCCCCTTTCTTCGTCTTCCCTCTCCTCTCTTCTCTCTCTCTTCATCATTACAGTTTATGATTTCAGGATGGGGATCCTCAGGACATGGTAGTTTTCGTGTGACCTGCTATCCTCATTTTCCTTGGAACATAGGCAACCATCATCCATGTACTTAAAGTAAAAGCCCAATTACAGTGTGCATTCTCTCTCTCGTAAGGGGTTGTCTCTAGTCAAAAGGTGGTCAGTTGCACCCAGTTTGTCTAGAAATTGATATTTCACCTTACCACTAAGCAGTGAGTGCTAAAGCAATCCTCAGAGCAAACTGGACACAGGACACCTTGTGGTGGTGATGACCACAGGGCTTCTGTTCTCTGTCATTTGTAAGGTTAGTGAAGTAGGTTCTGTGTATAAACACAGAGTAAATAAGATGTCAGAGTTGAGATCTGTCTGCTGACGGAGCTGTTCAGGGAAATGCACCCCGCGGGCCTGTGGTAGCTGCTGTGCATTGAGTAACTCTGACGGTCTCTTGTCCACTTCTGTATTGCCGAGGTATGAGAGTAAGAATGCTGGTGTGGACTTCTCTCCAAAGCACACCTGCTGTATACCACTTGATTTGCTTCTGTAGAAACACTGAATTTACTGTTCTTCAGATGGCTACAGTTTTGCCTTTCTAAAATCATCACTTATTGATTCAGTGTTTGAAAAATTGGACTAGTACAAATTTATGGTTTGGGTCAAGCTCCTGATTAAATCAGCTGGACACTAAATATTGGTAAATGTAGCATGCAGTATAACTACTAAAGAAAAGAATTAAAAAGAAAATTATTTATGTGGTAATATGAAAACACTAAACAGTATACCCTTATATCAAGGACAAATGAGATGTAAGCAGCATGGACATAAAATTTAGAAAGCAAACTCATTTTTTCCAATTGAAATGTTTTTATATAATAAAATTATGTTTAAAATGAAAAGCATCACTGTATTGGAACGCTTCTTAAACATATGCAATCCCCCTAGCATCTTATTTTTTTTATGTTTTCACCTGTGTTTTTTCCATGTTTGTTTTATGCTCACAGCACTCCTAAATTATTCCTGAGCTAGAGGATTAGTTTTATTACATTCTACAAGTGGGAAATTGAGGCCCACAGAGATTGTAAGACTGAGCAAACAGCAGTAGACATACCTTAGAATTCAATATTCTAAGGTAAATAATTGATGCCCTAAAGAAAGCACCATCAATTTACATGAGTAATTATATTTGAAAGCTTACTTGATTATGTCTGCACTGGAGAAGCAAAATAGTCAACAGTAAACTCTTCTGGATTTTTTTGGTCTTCTTCCTTTTTATCGGTACCAGGAATCAAACTCACGACTGCCTGCTTGCAAGGCAGGCGCTTGTGCCGCTGAGCTAAATCCCCAGCCCCCACTCTTCTGGCTTTTAAAAAATGATTTTTTGATCAAATCCTAAACAGGGATTTTTATTATAATAGCATTTCCTGATGTGTTAATATTTCAAATATAGCTTGATCAAATGAAAATTTTCCTTCATAAAGATGAGTAATTATATTTCATTTACAATGTGTTAAGTGGACATTCCTTGATTTTACATCATAAAATATGGTAAATACTTTGATTTTTGTATAAATTTAAGCTAAATTGTAGGAAATGTTCTCTTGGTAGCAGATTGTTGGCCATAGGCCAGGCCAAGAAAGTGAGTTTTACTATTGCAGCCTGAGCTGTCAAGATGCATGGGGCCAGGAAAGGAAAAGACTCTCAAAGAGCAACCTTAGGAAAAGAAAAAAAAAAGACTTATCTTGCAGTTGTCAGAATCATCAAAAGACTTCTTTTTACCTTAGAAGAAGTGAAATGCAATAAATTTTATTTTTAAAAATTTTATTTGTTACTATATAAACCTAATATACTTAAAAATACTTCATGCTAGTTTTGTTCATTGAGAGACAGTAATATTTGATCTCGTGTCTTAGTTTTCAAAATGTTCCGTTGAAGCAGTTTCCCAACAATGTCAAGATGCTAATGTTTTGAAACCTGAAAAGGATCTTAGCTGTTTCTGTTTGTACTTTAAGGTTTACAAAGAAGATCTACCTCAGCTAAAGCAACAGAGTAAGGAGAAAAACCATGCAGTGCCCTTCCTCAAACGGGAGAAGGCCCCTGAGGACAGCCTGAAGCTGCAGTTCATACACGGGTGGGTGGCCTGTGCTGGGGCCCCGCGAGCCCTCTTGTGTCTGCTGAGCTTGTGCCCAGCCTGGTGCTAGGCTCCCAGAGGTCCCCTCCTCTCTGCAGTCGCTCTCGCCCCTGTGGCTGTGCTGTCACGGGGACTCTGCAGCACGGTCACCTCTGGGCCCTGAGTTCTCACGGGGTCTGTGTCGGTGGCTGCCCCTGCTGCACGCTGCTTCTCACCATCTCCACTGCCTTCTCCTGGCCCCCGCACAGCGTCTTCTTCAAGCCCTTCCTCACATATTCCTCAGTGCATTTAGAATTTTATAAAATTATATGTATTCCTGTGTACATTTAAAGCTGTCACCTAAATTTTTCAGTGTAAGTTTAGATGTTTGAGAAAAACATACCTGATGTGTAATAAGTACATCAGTCATTTAAATGAATCCATTGGAACCGAAATACCATAAATATTTTATCCTAACTATTATCAGTTTTAAAAGTATACAAACAAATGCTTCTATCCAGCAGAATATTTTATATCATCCATATTTCTGCTTGAAAGAGTCTCAAATCCATTTTAATTCTTCCAAAAAGCTTTATGTTTACATATATTTTTGTGCTTGCATTTTTTTGTCATTGTATTATGCCTTCTGCAAGGAAAAAAATTGTTTTAAATTCAATTTAAATTTCATTTCTTGTGACTGTAGACTCCCGCTCTGTCCTTCAAATAGGGAGGCGGGCACTATGAAAGGCATGATGGGAACATTGAGCCTGTGTGTCCACAGGAGTGTTCTCAACACATCCATTTTAAGGAAGAGCACATGCAGTTGCTGAAGATCTGGAAACAAGTTCCTTTTAAAAGGATCAGTGTCTTAAAAAGCCAACCTGTGCCCCAGAGGGCCTCCTACCATATTTGACATTTCTCTCTTGTGCAACCATGCAACACTGGGGATTCCATTCCTGTGTGTTCACATCTACAGCTTTGCTTTGTCTCTGACGACTGTTCCATTAATTCACTGTTCATTCAGCCACCTGTGTTGCTTGGACTTGTGCTTCAGTTACAGAGGCTACGATTGCAGAAACAATCTGTTCTACACGCAAACCGGAGAGGTGGTCTACCACATCGCTGCAGTTGCTGTTGTGTACAACAGGCAACAGCACTCCCAGAGGCTGTACCTGGGCCACGATGATGACATCCTTAGCCTCACCATTCACCCAGTGAAGGACTATGTGGCCACTGGACAGGTGTGTGTCTCTCTCCTAAGATGGGCGATCTAGTCAAAGAGAGAATCTCTGGTCTAGCCAGAGTGTTCATGTTAGAAATTTGAGAAATCCTTGGTGGAAATGAACATGAGACAGGCAACTGAAGATTTAGTCAACATTGGTCATTTTAAATGAAAGGAGAATCAATCAATGCATTCTAGAACTGCTGGGAAGCCTCTGAGGGATTCTCTCTGAAGCAATGAACTATGAATGGAATGAGGTATGATAGTGAACAATTCATGAAGGACTGATATTACATATTTCTTCATCACTGTGTACCCTATACTTAGCACATCCTTGATACTCAGTGAGTATTACTATTAATAAGCATTTTAAACTATTACAGTATCTAGGTTATAGTTATTTTTGTAAGATTTGAAGCTATAAGAATTTGGACTCATTTTTTATCTTATATTTTACAACCTTGCAAAAAACTCCAAACTATCAAAACTGTTTAGAATGCCTATATCTTCAATTGAGTCTGCTATTGAAGAAAAGCTACTCAAACCCCAGACCCTCTACTTTTCAGTCATCTTAGTGTGTAAAGAGAGCAATCAGTCAATTTATTAAACTCAGATATATTACCTTATTGGTAAAATAGTGAATTGTCCAAAGTAGTCTCAATTTACTCTTTTCCTCAGTATGTAGATTACATTTTTATTTAGTTTTATTTTAATTGAAGATACTTCAATCATTGTTCATATTTACATGTCAAATTCCAAACAAGGGTTTTGATATTGTTTGAAAGGTTTTGATATTGTTTGAAAGGGTTTTGATATTGTTTTGATATTGTTGAATAAGACAGCTGACACCCAGGTTGTAGCTTTCAAATGGAGTTCATAAGATCCCTGGGTGAGAGAGCATGAGTGAAATCTGCCCCCAGAAATGTGCATTTCTGTGAGGGAAAGGTTTGTAGCTTGTATATTGCTTATAAAAGGATCATAATCTCCTCAAAGGTAAGAGCCATTCAGTTATATACTGACTTGCTGTCTTTCCAACTGCAAGTTAGAGACCACTACTCTGTTAGCTGGCATTAGTGAGTTTTATAAGTAATTAATCCTCCCTCTGCCTTTTCACTTGCACTTATTTTCTTGGTCTGTGTTATAAACAGATGGTGCTTGGGAATTGCATGGATTCTGCTCAGTTATGTGGATGGCCTCTCTCGAGTTTTGCTATACTCAGAAGGAAAACCACTTTACTATTAAAATTTTCTTTGTTGTATGCTTTATCTTAATGACAGATTGTCAAGCTGAACAATTTTTCTCAGGGTATAAGGAAGGGCCAACCCTTGTAGGTATGGGTAAGATAATTTAAGTGAGTAAAAGAACTGTGTAGGCAGTGCCTTGACAACATACAGGCGACCTCTTGACTGAGGAGTGGAGTCTTGTGCAACACTGAGAAGATAAGAGAAAGGTTCAAGTAACTGACAAGAAAGAAGACAGTTGAAATGCAGGCTTGAAGTTCCCTCAGCCGAGAGCCGTGAGCCAGGCAAGGCTCTACTGTAACTCTACTCAGTTACTATGACAAGCTCTTATAGGCTTAATACTTCCTTTTTCTCATCTGGAAAATAACAAGCTTGAACCAGATTATTTCCAATGTTCCTCCCATTCCCAAATCATATGGAATAATAATACTCTATGAACCAAGTCATTATTATAATTCATACATAGTTAATAATGCTCGTCCTTTAAGGTTGGAAGAGATGCTGCCATTCATGTGTGGGACACACAGACTCTGAAATGCTTGTCACTGCTAAAAGGACAACATCAGAGAGGAGTGTGTGCGCTGGATTTTTCAGGTAAGCACCAACTTCTGCTAGAGTTATTGACACCCGAGTCTTTGTTTACACTTGATCTTAGCAAAAAGGCCAAGAAGCAATTGAGTTTAATTTTTTTTAAACATCCTCCTACATAGTTGAATTCTGGATGTGAGCTACCCAGCCTGAGGCAGGGAATCATATGTGAATACCTCAGTAAAAAAACGTAGTCTTTAGGTTATGTTTTCATTTTTCTCCTTGTCTTCCTCGTTTCCTAAGTCATTACCCAGAGCTCACATCAAGATCTGTATTTTCTTGAGCGATTTAATCCAGAGCACCTATTGGTAGTGAAAGGCTTAGTTGCAGATGTCTGGCAGTGTGACTCAGAGGATCAATTTCCATTCCAGATGAGTGCAAGCCCATCGCTGCATTAGAAATATAAAATTAAGATATAAAGAACTAGACAGAAAACCACAAATCATCTGCAAAGGGCCACTTTATAACATTGTGTTTTATAAATAAATTACACTTTGAAAAATAAAACTGAAACTTTGTTCTCCATTTAAAATTTGAGCACAGTGCGATAAAAATACCATCATGAATGTAATTTTTCTTTAGAGTGAGTTTTCTTTAAACTGGAATTGGAGAATGAGGGTCCATCATGAAAGATGGTATTACCTAGAAATTTTCAGTATCAGTTATAAAATTAGACCAGTAGTAAAAGTCCTAAACTTTCTACATTTCTTTATAATTTCCTTTTTCTAAATACCATTCAGATGTTTAATATTAAATGTGCAATATTAGTCACTAAATTCCGTGACTGCACAACCCCAGTTTCTTCTTTGCTGTGGTTGTTCGGCCATTGTTTCCTCTCACCTGTATCACAGTAGTGGTGCTGTTCCTCCCTGCTTCTTCCAGTCCGTCCTTCCCACGCCTCGAGTCTTCTGAAAGCACAGTTACCATTCTTGTCATGGGCTCCACCGGTTGGCTGAGTCAGGACGGAAGCTTTGGTAGAAATTCATCGCCTTTCCTGGTCCAGCCTCAGCCTTCCTTTGCAGCATTTCCACCCAATAACCATTCATGGTCCTTTCTCTTGACCTAACTGCAGAGCCCGCATCCCCTTTGCCCACCTCCTGCCTCTGGTCTTTGCTCAGGCTGTTCCTATGACTCTAAGGCCTATTATTGTTAAGACTTGGATGAATGTTTTCTCCCCCCATCTGTCAGGCACATGACTTGTCTTTCCTTCTGCACGCATTAGTTCATTGTCATTGCTTTCATGGCATGTGTCAAATCCATGTGGCACTGAAGGTCTTTGTGTCAACATCTACTGCACCCTGCACATACTGGAGAGCCCCGCCTTTCCCCCTCCACGTGTGGTGCTGTGTGCATAGATGCTACTCATAAAATGTTGTGGATGAATGACCAATGAGGTTTCGCTCAAGAAGCTTTGTCTTGCCTCTCATCATTATTGTTAGAACATCACATTGTAAACCATGTTCAGGTAAAAATGATCTTTATTCCCTGACCAAGGCAACATAGAGTCATATTTTGTTTTTGGGCTGTGTGTATTCTCACATCCCATAAACTACTATGGAAATCTCAGTTGCGGCATCATTATTAAAATTATTCATACCTCCAGTGGTAACTGAATTAGTAAAGTCAAAGCTAAAGAGTTCATATCGACACTGGTGGACAAGGGAGGCGGGGTAAGTCATAAATATGGGGAGAGAACTGCTCCGCCTACCGCCTGCAAACTAAATGCTCAAGAAAACATGCTTAACAGTGGGTACAAAGCCCTAAACTTCTAGAATCTGACAAGTATGCCCTTTTAAATAGCAGTGCCATATGTCCTTGATGAAGCAGTAAAATATAAAACTGTAATTTTAGTTTAGTTACCCTTCTATCCCAGACCTGAATGAGTTTCCCCTGCTTGTTTATTTGTGGTCCTACTCCTCAATGGCTCAAGTATCCTTTTCCCAAAATTGATTTTGTTATGAGAAATATATGTATACTTAATGTAAATAAGCATGCTTTAAAAGAGTGGTAAGAGATATTAAAGTCACATAAATAATAAAAAATGTTTACATGTTTATGAGGATCAAATATACCTATTTTTTAGGCGACCTTGAAAAGTAACTCCATTCTACTAGCAATATGGTAGTATTTATAAAAGCTATAATTTAAAATATCAAGTATGTGAACTATGTTACACATTTCTGTTTACCAAATCCAGTCAAAGAAAATGTAACCCTAGTGTTTACCACTGATTTTATATCAAAATGTGTGTATGTATTAATATCTAAACAGAACGACAGGAACTTTAGAGTGATATAAATAGAATGTAATAATCATTACATTAGTTCTTCTATAGAATTGGTTTTCTCATTTATATATTTAGAAGAATCTAAAGAACTTGCAATTTAAATATCTTCAGACAAAAGGATGCGCAGTCTTGATCAAAGACATCAGTGTGGAGATGAGCTGTCTGTGTGAGCGGACACCCAGCACCTTGGTCTCTGCGTTTCAGGGAGCTCACACCTCTCCTGGGATTATTAGTTTTAGAGGAAAAAAAAGAACAAGAGATTAACTGAGCTTAGACATCTTTCCCTCAGAAGGCATTTCCTTAGATCATTGCCAGGATAAGCAAACCAGATATCCCAGGAAGAGTGGAGAAGTTCTGTCACTGCTGCTAATTCCTGTAATGAGCAAATGAAGAACTTATCAGATACGAAGTATTTCTGCATAAGAAGAGCATTTTGATTTTAGCAGGGCGGTCTCTGCTCCCCAGATGACAGTCATTGGGGAAAATCTCAGTTATTCAGAAAAGAAACTACTTTTGATTATGGAAAATTATGTTTTTGTCTTAGATGTTAAGTATAGTGTCCATGTATCAGTGGTAGAAAGGGAGAGAGCTGATTGTTTTAGAAAGCACTAATATTAAGGACTACCCAGGAAAATGTTCACCAGGGTCCACTGTGTGTGATTCATGGTTACATACAGATGGTTTGTGGTAGTTGGTTGATCTTTGTGCTCTCTATGGCAATACTGGCAGGAGTTGAGGCCTATTTGTTTAAATTTCTCTTGATAGTATTTTGTGTTCTAATGATACAACTTTAGACCAAAATTCCTGCAACAGTTTACAGATGAAGGATAGAGATGAAGAGTTAGCGATGTGGCGTGTGTCAGCAGCAGCACATCTACAACTGGACCCCAGGCCTCCTGGCTCTTGGTTCAGTGTGATAGCTCTGGACTCAGAATTGGCGGCTGGTGGTGAAGGGGGATGGGGCTGTGACGGATTCTGACTCCTAAGGCCTTCTCCGCCCCTTCCATTCCCCGGAGCTGGTGTGGCTTTGGCAGAACAGTTGTACAGGAGCCTTCTGTGTGCTCGTCTGCTTCCCCTGTGCTGACCAGCTGCCCGCCCAGCCGCCAGGTTCACTGTGCAGGAGCAGGGTCATGCACATGGACTAGGCCCTCAGTCAAGAGACCCCTGTTCTGCAGCAGCCTTTAACCACACACATGAAAACTGACAGGAAAGTTAATAACTCCAGGCAAATCGCGGAGGAGACTGTTTAGATTTCCCTGTTTAGCCATGTAGTGCTCCTTGGTTATATAGCTCATGGCCCCATCTCTGTGCCTTATTGTCCCACAGCCACCTGTCTCTTAGGAGTCAGCACCTATGACGTCTCATGGAGGCCTGCTAATCATACTTCACCTGTATTATTACAAAAATACACTGTCCTGGCAATGACGTAAAACAAGACTGTAAACAGGCAGTTACACGAAGGGATATAAGGATTTTTCTTCTCCCCTTTTTAGGGGAAGGGCAGTAGTAGGAATCAATCCCAGGGCCTTTGTTGCATATGGGTGAGAGTTTTCCAGTGGGCGGTGCCAAAAGGGACTTATATCAAGTCTTTATTGTTGCCACTTATCTAAAGCAAATCAAAGAAGACATTTTAAATCAATTTTTATGACATGATCCATAATTCTGAATTACGTGGACAAGGAATGAGTTTGTATTACCTCAGTTAAGTGATACTTCTAATTCTTGAATTTATTAACTCCTTTAAGGGAAAGTGGAACTATCTTGGTTTTTATACTAGTGGTAATGAAAAAATACTTCTATATAAATAGAAAACCAGATTGAAAAGGAAGACATTCAGACATATAAATATTTTGTAGCCTAAATATCATCTATACATTTTTTAAAAACCTTCATAAAATAATGCTGATTTCCATAAAATGGGCACATCTAAGACTTAACTTAATTTCATTGTGTTCAATTGAGAAAATGTATGTATTTTTTTATGAACCCTGAATAGGAAAACCAACTCATATTTATCTGAATAAAAATTTTCCCTCTTTCTAATTTGCCCTTTGCTATTGACATTAAGTGCCTTTGAATTATTTCTGGACTGTCACAACCATCCATAGTGAATATATTCTGGGACTGGAAAGATTTGAAAAGGCATTATCTAGACTCTAAAAATATAGCAAAAACAAACAAACCTCACTAGTCAGGGAACAATAGAATGTCAAAGCGAAGGTCAGGTCTCTGCTGGGCAAATGAAAACAAAAAAATAAAAAGGTGGTCGATTATGTTTCCAAATGGTGTGGTAAGTAGAAATAAATAGCTTACACCTGCAGGGTTCAAGGATAAGTCAGAATTCCAAGGGAGAGGTACAGTTGTAGAGGTGCTGCTGATTCTGTCCTGATTGTTCAGTTGTTGCCCCATCAGGATACTCTTGTTGATGTAAAAAAGCCACATAACTATGATGATAAGTTAATGGGACACTGTAGAAATTCTAAAAAGAAGACCCTGCCTACCCCACAAAATCAGCTTGCTATTAGTCCCCTTTCAGGAGACATAAGACTTAAATGACCATCATTTTAAATGTTATTAATGTTTGCATCCCAAGAACCATATATTAATATGAGTGTACAGCTTTCAAAACATAACCTAAAATGTAGAATTAATAGATACAAAAAAGACATTGAATATTTGTGCAGTGTTTTTGAAAGAAATGATAATTGAAACAATTACATTTTTATAGCTATATCCTATAGTATCTTTTCTTTCCCTTCATACTGCCCATAGCCACATTCTAGGTTTATATTCCTCATCTTCAGAGTCCATCAGCATTCAGTAAAAACCAGCTCACTGTCAGGATGACACAACATGATTACCTTGAGCCTTAAAAGAATGTACAACCTGAAAATGGAGAGAAGGCACCCAAATAAAATCATCAAATACAAGGCTTGCTGACATAACTAGGACATTCCAAGACATATGCAAAAAGTAATAATGTTGATAATGAATAGGAAATCATTACTGGTTCCTTCTCCCAAATGCATAAAAACAGACATTATTCAATTAAAAATCTGATCACATTTAAGTCTAATGACATCATTAGTTGTTTGTAGTAATCACCTGCTGGTTATGGAGTACTTTAGGAAAGTGTTTAGCACTTGAGGTTGGGTTCCCAGATATAGATCCTTCAATTAAATTTTAATTTCAGATAAACAACAAGTAGTTTTAAACATAAACATATTCAGTGCAATATAAACAAAGACTCAGTACAGATATAAATATTGTATGGAGCTCATACTAAGAAACTTGCTTATCTGAAATTCTAATTTGACAAAGTTTTCTTTATTTTATCATAATTTGGGGTCTACTCCAATCCTGTCTTTAAAAGTAGGTGGATCAGGAGACTCAAGAGAAGCAGTTTCTCACATACATGTATTTTTGTACCTTAATAGCTGGTCCTTTGTAGCAAAAGAGACACGGTGAATGTGACAATGCTGAATCGCCATGTCCTAGCAGTGTCACAGCTGAGGGCTGGAGCGAGGGTGGGACTGCTGACCGTGAGATGCATGTCCCGTGAACTTGGCCTTGTGAGGAGGCAGAAAAGGAAAGGTCTTGAGGAAAAGCAATTCAACTTTTATTTCAAATCTAATTATATATTCACTATATTTAAAATTTTGTAAATAGCCTAAATGTCCAAATTCTAGTAACATTTGTAATGTTGTAAATGTTTGATAAGGGAAAGTGTTCATGATATAATAGATGAGAGAAGATGGTTGATTATTCAGTATGATCCTGGTTTTATTTGTTGTCTACATTGATGTAGAGAAAAGGATGGATAGGATTGCATTAAATGGAGGTCCAGGAATTGAGAAGATTTAAACATTTTCTTTTCCTATAGTTTCTAAATGTCCTACGCAACAACCAGTACATTATGTTTGCAGTAAAGAAAAGATGAATTTAAAACTTTTTAAATTGTAAAATCATCTTTTGAAGGCACTTAGGAAGTAAAATTTAGTTTTGTAACGCTCTTATCCTGAGTGGTTAAATTGAATCGAGTATTTTAAGAGTTGGAAAATAGACGCAGGCACAAAGCCAAGAAGCTCGTCTGGTAAATGTCACGTGGCTTATCTGCCACAGAACAGACAAGGTTGTAGTTACCTACTGTGAGGCCCCCCCGTAGCTGTGTCTCCTGTTGGAATGCTGGGTCAGCACCTGAGTTCAACAACGAACTACGGGTGTTACGTAACAGGAAGTTTAGTGCTAGTCGCCCCTTCACTCTTGTGGTTCCTTTACGATATGTTGTTCCTAATGTATTTGAGTCTAACCTGTGGGCCAGTTTCTTATTCTTCTTTACAGTAAGTTAAATGTTTTGATTTTTTTCTGGAAGAAATGAGTTGTTTGACATCTGTGTTCTTTTCATACAGCCGATGGAAAATGTCTGGTGTCGGTTGGTTTAGACGATTTTCACAGTATTGTATTTTGGGACTGGAAAAAGGGAGAAAAGATAGCCACCACCAGGTAAGACGCTGTCCGCCTCTTACAGCCGCCTGCTGCTGCCAGGCTTCAGTAGGTCAATAGCTTTCATTTTCTGGTAAGATTTCATCTTCGAACTCCGACGATAGTCACATCGAAAGCTTACCCTCTCAGTGAAAGTATTGCACTGTTTCATGGTCCCAAAACTAATGTTTGTTGCAGGGAATTGGAAAACTCTGAACTGCTTCCCAGAGAGCTGCTCATCACTTTGGTTTAGTAATATATGCTTTATCTGTATCAGAGCTCTCTCTCAGCCTTGTGCCTTGCTCCTTGTTTTTTCCTGTCTTAGCATCTGTGAAGGATTGTCAATGTCACTGGCGTCAGAAGCACCATTTGTCATGAGGCTACAGCGTGGTGGAAAGGAGGCCCCGCCGTGTGCATCTGCCACTCGCTGTCAGAGTAGGCAAATGTTTCCCTAATCTCTCCCCTCTTATAAATAGATCCTTAGGACTGACTGCTGTTTATAGGCCACCTGTCCTCCTCTACCCCAGCCTTCCTCCCTGCTGATTCAGTGCTAAGTCTGAACATGACTTTCCACTCCTCCTTACACTGAGCTTAGCCTAGTGCCTGGCCTGGGCCAGGGGTCAGCGTGGTTGGCAACCAGGCCTAGCCGTACAGCGTACAGCGTGCTGCTGGGCTCGGTGTCAGACCTGACTGGCTCTCCCTGCATTACCAGCGTCCTGTCTGTCTTGGAATACAAAAGCATTTTAAGTTGATTGTCTTGAACTCAACATTATTTTTAAAATTAACACTATGTTCTACAATATTACATAAGAAAAAGAGTTTTGTCAATTACTTTTAATGAATGAATATCTACAAATGTTGGAGAATGAGGAGAGAAGCAGTGGAGCTGTAAGGACTCCAGTTCACTTCTTAGGGAAAAGACGAGGCTTTTCTGGTGACTGCTGTTGAGACGGACTTGTTGGCATCAGTGGCAGTGCATGCATCTGCCTGCCCTCTGGTTTCTCTTTTGGTCTTTCTTTCTACTATACCTTACTATTGTACCACTCTCCTCTAATATCAGATTCAGAGCCTAATCAGAGCTCTGTCTTCCTCCTAGACTAACCACTGAATCTTAGTTTAATATTTTTGGTAGCATACTTTATTCATTTCCATATAACCTCAAAAAAGATGTGTCTGTATTTAAAAAAAAAACAGAAACACACCTTTTCTGTTAGAAAACCCCACCTTAGCTGTGGGGGGCTCACCAGTTACATGCCGGAAACACTAAAGCCCTGGCTCTGGAGATCCCACCTGTCCAGGCTTTGCTGCCCACCTGGAATGCCAGACACAGTGCAGGGCAGAAGAAGCTTTAATCAACATGGCCATGGTAGGATGCAGAGATCAAGGGAGTCCAAGATCTGTCTTCAAGGTCTAACAGAAGTTTTAGGGTTCTATAGAAAAAGGGAAAAAGGCAGAGGTTGGGGGTTTGCATAGCTGGAGAGTTGGTCAAGCTGTGGACCAATTGATCAGTTTCTCGGAACTGGCTGCTTCATCAAGGTTCTGGGAGAGCTATAATTGCTTGAGGAGGCAGTTGGACTCCCATTATGACAGCTCCTGCTGGGTTGGGGAGGGGACTTCTTGAACTTGAGATCTTTGCTCCCACTTGAGAGAATGTCCTCATCATGAGGTGATCTGCAAGGCTGTCCTTTGCCTGGAACCCAAGGTGGCTGCTAGCTTAGGACAATAACTGGAAAGTCCTGGGCAATGCACCAGGGAATCTGAAATTGGGCATCGTAAAACTGTCAATTGGATATTTCTGCAAATCCTGAAAATTAGTTACCCTTGTCTTGGTGTCTCCAGTCTTGAAAGGGGATGAGATAAAGCAGGGAAATGTAAGGCTAATAAACCTTGTACTACAGACACATTTGTTATGTGATTAACATACCTTTCTGTAGAGCTGGAACCTAACTCAAAAGTTTCAATGCAATCCAAGCTTCATCCTGGTCTTAGTTATCCACTTTGCATCTGCAGGCCTGGCCTCTAGATTCCTAATTCAGGAGAATGGCTAGCTCAGTGCCACCCCTCAGTGCCTTTCTTCATTGCCAAGATTGTCTTCGGCAAGTCTTAACAGCAAACCTGCTTCTGGCAGACTATAGAGTTCTGGCTGTGTGATTGTTTGATAAAAGTACTGTCATGCAAGGCAAAAGATTTCTCCACTGGGGAAGTTGGAGGTTAGTAGCCGAGATGGCATTGACGCCACACTGCTGGTGCCCAGTGCTGATTTGTGCAGCTGCACCACCCTGCACTCTGGGAAGTCACCCTTGACTTGTGAAAATGTTTAAATGAACCTGTGCTATAAAGCTCTGAGAAATGAGGGAAATTCAGAATTGGCACAGAGAGGTGTTACAAGATTTCTGTGAGACTTGATCCAATCTATTTGTCTGTATTTTGCTAACTTTTGTGTTTTTAGTCACCTCCATTTCAAGTAGACTTTTTAATCTTTTTTCATCTTAAAAATTGTTTACATTAAAATATGCAAGTTATCCATTCAGAAGCAGAGACTGTTTCTTTTCTGCGTAGTAAATGACCTAACATCAGTGTCCATTAGGAAAGAGTAATGAGAAATCTAATCTGATATTTCCATGTTCCTTTATTTGTATTTAGTAATGTGAGTTTGGGGCTCCTATTTGTTTTCTTGTTTTGCTTTGTTTAGAAGTGCTGGGTATTGAACACAGGGCCTTCACACTGAATTACATTCACACCACCCCCTTAAAATTTTTAAATTTTGAAACAGGGTCTCATTTTTTGAGGGTTGTTGACTGACTACTTTTGACATGCTTCCTCTAAGCAGTTTGGGCAAGGAGGGATCTTAGGCAAAAATATACAATTACGAAAATACTTAACGAGAATACTTCCAATGTAGATGGGTGCTATGACACATGTCTGTAATCCTAGCATTTTGGGAGGCTGAGACATGTGGATCATAAATTCAAGTCTCCCCCTTGACAACTTAGCAAGACCTGTCCAAAATAAAATTTTTTTAAATGGCTGGTCCCTAGCAAAACACATACACACACGCACACAGGCACACACACAATTTCTAATGTTAATCTTACATGGTTTTACTGTAAGAAGATTCATGGGCAGAATGAAGGCCCATATATTGCAGTGTAGAACCAAAACTCTTAAGACTGAAGATTCTCTGAAATAAAAGAGTTTTGGAGCCATTCCAGGTGCCGGACAAAAAAGGACCAGGTCAAGAATAACAGTGAATAGCAGATGGAAAAATGTGCACTAGACCCAGAGCTAAGGGTACGTAGGTAGGAAGAATTTGGGGAGGTAAAGTATAAGCTGTTACATTGAACTCAATTTAGCTACAGATAAGGGGTGCAGATAACACCCAGGAGGGGGTTCTGTAGGAGTGACTGTTGCTTGTGGGTTGGTGGCAGCGATAAGGCGGAGGCAGAGGCGCCGAGGGGCTTTTGATGGGACTCAAGGCGAAGTTTAAACATGTATTCACATCTCCTCCTCCTTGTCCTGCTCACTCTTATGACTAAATTTAGGACATTTCAGAATTTTTTTCTCCTGTCAACACAACTTTTGGGTTTCTGTATTAGTGTCCTTGCTGGATCTGCTTTAGGTTCTTTCCCTTCCGTACACTTAATGAAGATGATGGATCTTCTTGAATACTGTACTGATACATTTCCAGTTTCATTTTAGTTTTTAAAAATTTGTACCTCTTTAGAAATAACGCCTATCTTTTTCAAAAATAACTCATAAGCATTATGGAAATATGAGGGAATGCAGAAAGACACCAAGGAAAAAATGAAAATCATTTCTATTTTCCTAATCCAGACAGAGCCATGGTTTACTTTCTCGTGTATTTTCAGTATGTTGTGCTTCTGTGTTTTTACTCAGGAGAGGACATTGTGCATACTTCCCTACACTGGCCGTTTTTCACTCACCAGTATGTCTTCTCACGCCTATTTTATATTCTATGATTATGCTGTAAGTCATTTTAAGTCTTTTTATTGGGGTACAAATCGAACATCTAGTATTCTTATTATGCACTACCTTCATGAAGAGAGAGAAAACAGTCACACCCAGGATCAAACCTGAGCTGGTGAAGAAGCTGCGGATGGAAGATGTGAAGCCAAGTCCTTTACTGTGCCCTTGACTGATAGGGAGACTCCTTTTGTCGCGCTTGCTGTGTTTGCCACGAGGGTTTATGTGGCCACAAGTGTGCTGTAATCGGGTGCAGTAGGGCTTGCTGAACATTTATGTGCTGTCATTTCCAGCTTAGGACTTTAGCCACAACAAAACGGTATTGGCCTGGTGTGGCTGTGTGGTTTCTGGCTGGCCTTCAACTCACTGCAGTCCTCCTGCCTCAGTCTCTCTTGTGCTGGATAGGCGTGGGCCATCATGTGAGGAATTTGGCAAAAACACGTTAAAGAAAACTCAAGGCATTATATCATTTTCCCCTTAATATCTCCCTAGGTATTTCTAACTGAAAAGGCATATTTTTAGAAACTGCCATGGTATTTTCACAACTCAAGCAACAATAGTTTTTTTCTTTTTCTTTTTTAACTTTTTTTTTATTTTAAAGGAATTAAAAGAAAAAACAATAAAAACAAAACAGCAATAAAAATGATATAGGGTTTCAAAACAAGATGATAGGAATTAACAATTGTTACTATATTGCATTTGTTATCTTTGAAATATTTGCTCAGATTACAAGATACAGGTATGTAACAGATCAAACAATATAAGCACTCACATTTTCCTTCTGTGAACTAATAGGAATAGCATGCAATTATTTAGCTATCTTGCGTGTGTGTGTGTATAAATACTTTTTTCCTCCCTTCATTTCTCTTTTTCCCCATCTCAGTTGTTCTTTCCCTTTCACAGCATTGTAGATTTAGGATCGTATTTACTCTTTCAGTGTATTACACTAGGGGACGATACAGTATTTACACATGTGAGTCTGATTTAATTCACTTATGAATATGTTTTCTAGTTGCTTGCTTGTACCTATAAAAGCC